GGCCGGTCACTGGCTCTTGTTTCACGGATTGCGGCTTTGGTGTCGAAGACGTGTTTGCCGCCTCTGAGGCTGTACATCTGCGACTGCATTTTCCCAGTTTTATAGTTTTAGATTGTACGTTCAGGTCTTGGACCATTTTGAGTGACTGTTTGCATGCGGTGCAGAGCTCAGGCTGAGGTCTTGTGCACGAGGGCCTGGTTACTCCGCCCGCGGTGAGCGTGTCTGGCGTAGTGTTGATGGTGTATTTACCGTCGTCCTTCCAAAGGGGGACGCGAGGGCCTGTCGCTCCTCGGGCTGTTCAGCTATGACGCTGCCGATTCGCCGAGTCGCGTGTTAAAATAACCCCCGCGTTCTGTGCTGTGCAAGGTCTCGAGGTTCTGCCCTCCCAGGAAATCGTGCCACGACTGGATCGGACCCCCAGATAAACACTCAAACCTGCGGCCCGTTCACTTCCACGTCCCCGAAGACGAGTCCGCAGCGGAACAGAAGCTCCGAGAACTCCGGCAGGAGACGCAGGAATGGAACCAGCAGTTCTGGGCCAACCAGAACGTGACTTTCCGCAAGGTCGGTCAGCGCGGCCGGGCTGAGGAGGACGCGGCTGGCCACTGGGGGGCGCTATGTCCTCAGTGTTCGCTCTGCCTTTGGGGTTGGCGGGTTCTCAGGTCCTCAGAGCGTTTGGGCCGGTGTCCTGTCCTATGACCCGCGAGATGCCCGAGGGGCCTCGCTCTGGTTTACAGCCGCTAACCCGGTGGCGGGATTGGTTCGGTTCTGTCTACATCATTTCCAGGAACCTATGGACGAGGTGTATTTGTGGGGTTTTTGGGTCTTTTTTGTTTTTGTTGACCCTCATCCAGAGGATATTTTTCCATTGATTTCTTTTTAGGGAGAGTAGGAGAGAGAGGGAGAGAGAGAGAAACATGGATGTGAGAGAGACACATCGATTGGTTGCCTCCTACACGAGCCCCGACCAGGGCCCGGGCCAGGGAGGAGCCTGCAACCGAGGTACATGCCCTAGACCAGGGTCGAACCTGGGACCCTTTGGGGTGCCATTTTTAGTTTTCTGAGGAAACTTCATACTGTTCTCCACAGTGGCTGCTATGCATATACTTATTAAATCGATATATAACTACATGAAAAATATCCATCAGCCCTGGCTGGTGTGGCTGAGTGGATAGAGCGTCAGCCTGCGGACTGCAGGGTCCCAGGTTTGATTCTGGTCAAGGGCACATGCCTGGGTTGCAGGCTCGATCCCCAATGGGGGGGTGCAGGAGGCAGCCAATCAATGATTCTCATCATTGATGTTTCTCTCTCCGTCTCCTTTCCTCTCTGAAATCAATAAAAATATATATTAAAAACAATCCATCGGCCCGTTTTGCTCAGTGGTTAGAGTGTTGGCCCTCGGCCACAGGATCATGGGTTTGATTCCCAGTCAAGAGCGTGCACCTGGGCTGCAGGTTCGATCTCTGGCCCCGGTTGGGGCGCATGCAGGAGGCAACCAATTGTTGTGTCTCCCTCACATCGATGTGTCTCTCTCTCTCTC